AATTTGGGGTGAGGTGAGCACGCTAGTAGGGAGAAGACTGCAGCAAGACCTGGATAGGTTGCAGGGGTGGGCTAACAAAAACAGGATGTGTTTCGATACTGACAAGTGCAGGGTGCTGTACTTGGGCAGTAGTAACCAGCAGCACACTTATAGAATGGGAAACTCCGTTCTTGAGAGCACGGAGGCAGAAAGGGATCTTGGAGTCATTACTGATTCCAAGATGAACATGGGCCGACAATGTGAGGTCGTGGTTGGCAGGGCTAACCAGACCTTGTCGTGCATCCACAGGTGCATCTCAGGTAGGGCCAAGGAGGTGATCCTTCCCCTCCATGCAACACTGGTCAGGCCATAGCTGGAGTACTGTGTCCAGTTCTGTGCACCCCACTTCAGGAGGGATGTGGACAACATGGAGAGGGTCCAGAGGAGGGCCACCCGCATGATCCGGGGACAACAGGGCAGACCCTACAATGAGACACTGCAGGACCTGAACCTTTTCAGCCTTCACAAGAGAAGGCTGAGGGGGGACCTGGTGACTGTCTTTAAACTGACTAGGAGGGGACCAGAAGGGTTTGGGGGAGACCTTGTTTCCCTTAGCGCCCCCTGGCATAACAAGGAATAATGGCCATAAGTTGTTGGAGAGTAGGTTTAGATTAGACATCTGTAAGAACTACTTCATAGTCAGGGCGGCTAGGATCTGGAACCAACTTCAAAGGGAAGTGGTGCCGGCTCCTACTCTGGGAGTCTGTAAGAAGAGGCTTGATGCCTACCTGGCTGGAGTCATCTGAGCCCCGTTTTTCTCCTGCCCAGGCAGGGGGTCGGATTTGCAGATCTACAAGGTCCCTTCCAACCCTACTTCTGTGATTCTATAAAAAGAAGGATTCAGAAGTTCATAACATTCCCAAGATGTGGTAGATTTTGGAACGCATTCAGAAGCTTTTTTAAAAATATGTATGTGATGTCAAGAGATTATTTGGTGCCTGTAATAGAGTTAGTGGTAAACCCCTGTTTGTCACCAGGGTCTCGCAGAGCTACTTGTACTCGGTTATTAAAGTAGTAAAGGTTCTGATCAAAATCTGGCATTCATATATTACTTTTCTCAACAGTGCAGATGCCAAAGGCAAGAAATGTGAATCTTAGAGGAAATATGTGGATGAGAATGTGAGGAAAAACAAACCCTCTTGTCCCTTCAAATTTTCTATAGAAAAGTTATACCTCTGACATCCCAGAGGATTGAAAACTGAAAATACCTACACACATCAAGTATTTAATAATCTTGGAGTCCAAGCAGAAGTCCTTTAGGAAAGCAAAATTACAGTACAAATTTGGAGAAGCAGCAAGCACTTTGCTGAATTGCTTGCCTTTAGAAGAGCAAGAAGACCCTGAATTAAGTTTCCACTACTTTACAAGACTGCACATGACAAATCACCGTAAATATTTCAGCTCCTGAGACTGAAATTTGAGAGCAGCTCTACAATACTGTGGTAGACAGCAGGGGAAATTGATCCATCCGAAAGGCAGAAATTTTCTCTGAGCTTTGAGAACTACAGATTTCTACTTGAAGTATAGATTTCTATTTTCATTTCTCAAGAAATGAAAAATACCAGCACAGTTTGCAGGATACTATTGCAAGCTCTTCTGGACAGCTTCTGTTAAAGCCTTTATAATTTCTGGGAAGGAATACAAGGACTGCAACCCAAATTGATTCATTATATATTGCAAGCGTGTGTTTTTAGCTGTGTCCAATGCAAATAATGAGCAAGCATTTTCAGAGATGAAAGCCATGAGTGGCAAAAAGCAGTATCCTACTATTCTCAATTAAAGATGATGTGCATAATGTATAATTGCAGCAAGACCAGTGTTTATTGTTCTATTTTTTATACATACATAGTTGCAGCACTTGCAGTTTGACTGAAGATTCTTTATCAATACTTCCCTCTTTTTTTTGGTTGAATCGTGGAATTTACATTTTCTTATAGATTTCCATTTTCCTTGGAGATAGACATTTACATGCATTGACTTAATTTGATTCCATGGTAATATTAATGAGAGAGAGAAGGGAACAATCTTTAGACAACTATGTGTTTATTTCTTGGGGGGAGGGTTATTAAATACAACCTACATTTTACAGTAAATATGTATATTGTATTCTCCTGCAAGGGGAAACCTGCCATTTCCCATGGATCCCTGCCTGAGGCTGTGACTCCAGGACAAATGCCGACTCTGAGTCCCACAGCCCAGGACCAGGACTTGAGGTTCTTATTGGGAGACTGCCCTGCCCAATTAGGGATGGGTGGTCACCCGCCCCTTGCTGCTGATTGGCTGAGAGGGCTGCCTGTCATGTGGCCTTGCCCTCCACCATTCAATGAGGAGGGACAAGACTGCATGACAGACAGCCCTCTCAGCCAATCAGGGCAGTGGCAGACAGCCCTCTCCACCAATCAGCAGCAGGGGGTGCAGCCCCTTGGGCCCCTTAGCCAATCAGAGGCATAGGGGGTCCCCATCATGATGTGCCTTTGAAAATGGCAGCCAGTCCTGCAGTGTGCCCACTAAATTGGCCAGCTGCTTCCTTGAGTTGGGTAGACCCCTAGTCCTCCTGAAGGTGGCAGAAATATTTCTTCCATCTACTCTGTGCTGTTGTAGTGAAGACCCTTCCCTCTGTATCACATGGGACCGCTTCTGAAAACCCTGGCTTTCAAGTGCCTGGAGGTGGCTGGCAGTCGAAGGAACTGTCACTAGCCACGTACTCCTCAAGGTACTCGAAAGGTTTGAGGAAGACTGTGGTAGCACCTCAGTAGTGGCTTCCCTAAACCAGGTTTGATTCTGTTCTCCCTGGTATGTCTTTACTACAGAGGTATCTCAGACTGTTATGCAGGCATTGCCCCAAACCCTTGTCTTATCTGCCTGTGAAGACTGCTGACCTGAGTTTTATGGTGGTTTAAGTCTGTGTTGAGGCTTTTGGCTAATATCTGGTGCCGCTTTTACTCGGGCTGTCGACCCGCATACTTTGCCATGAGGATGCTGAGTAAACATCTTGAATGCTGATAGTCATGTGTTGCCTTCCCACAGTTCCCCTTCTATGCTCCAAAGGACAGGCAGATTCTCCCACAGTTCTCTGAGACAGTCTTAGAGCAGTTCATCTTACTGCAGCATGAAGAGCCTTGCAGTGTCTCCCCCAAATTCCTTAGTGACACACACGGGTGAGGGTAGCACCAGTGAAGATCCTCATACTTGGGCATGGCTTTTCAGCATGACTGCTCACACTTCAGCTAGGCTAATCCAGCTGCTGACCAGATGAGTTATCTGAAATGTAGCTATAACTTGCGGGTGCCTGAGTGGGTAGAAGGTGGCTGGGGGCTGGAGCCCCAAGTGCTGGGGCAGGAGCTGCCCAGCTGCAACTTCCCCTTACCTGGAGCAGCACAGCAGGGGCAGGAGGAGGAGCCGTTGGAGGCAGGGGAGCCAAGCGGTATCCTGGCAGCTGCAGCTGTGCTGGGAGCAGCCTCGCCAGGAAACTGTGCACGCTAGTCAGAGCTAGGGTGTTGGCAGGTGGAAGTGCAGCACAGGTTGCCCTGGGCAGGAGTAGGCAGGCCTCAGCCCCATGTGGAGCGCCATGGGCCCAGAGGTCATGGACTGCACCTGCTGTGCACCACCCAGGCGAGATCTGCTGCACACATCCCTTGCCCCCCCCTGACAAATAATTGTCTACCCCTGATGTACGCTGTTGCTGTGCTGTCAGAGGAACCTATGAACAAGGGGCTCCCATTAAAAATTGGGCAGTTCAAAACTGCTTTTCAGATGCAGGTCAGGTTGGCACTGAACCAATCCAGGCTGTTCATGCAAACTTCAGTTCTTGATTGTGATAGGATATGTATGCATTTCATTAATATTTTGAAGAGCAGCTCACACCTTGTAGGGAACTTCCAGGAACACTCTCTTAAGAAAGCACCCCGCTTCTCCCCTTATTGCATGGAAGCAGAATCTTTATTTCCTAGGGCTCCTCTGCCCCAGCTCTTTATTGCTGCACTGGTTTGCAATATCTTCAACGGTTTCCACAGCAGTTTGTGATGATACCAGCAGACCCAGGATGGAGCGTAGCCAGCAAAAACAGACAGCCTCGTAAAAGCCATGCTATATTACCTGAGGCTTCCACTGTACTCTAACCCACTTCAGGTTTCAAGTAGAGGGTGTGCAGTTACTGGGGTGATATGTAAAAAGGGATCTATTGCCTGCAAACCCTGTTCAGACTCTTGTGAAAACTTAGTGGTTCACATAAGCACTAAATTTATGTGGCTTTCACACTTTTCACATGTTGCTGTTATATGATTCTATATCTAGCGAGATGAGCATAATGGATTTTATTAGCAGTCATAAAGGATTGCTAAAAATGAGACCTATAATTTTTATGATACTATCCTTCTGCTCATATATCTGTTGGCAAAATCCATGTCATTCTTTGTGGAATTGTATTTTTACCTTTGAAAAAGGTTTCACTGATGACTTTTCAGAATAAAATATACGTGCCAGCAGGTTGCCACTCCTAAGTGACCTTACAAGAGCAAGCCAGCTCAGGAAGCCACTTGTGTGGGCCACTTGATGGTGTATTGCACTTATTTTTCATTTACAGGTTGGATTATTGTTTAAGTAGTTGCTGCTAGGGATTGCTGTCTTGCTACCAGCAAGTTTAAAATGAGTGACATTTCAGGAATCACAGGCTTATAGTCACAGGGAAAGCTTTCAGAGAAGAACTATTAATATTTATGGGAGGAACACAAAAGGGGTGAGGTGTGTTCCAGCAGCTTATTTTTTCCAAAGGCCCTAGATCTCAGAGGATTTGTGTGAGGTGTCCTCTGGATTTGGTTATAACCCAGAGCACCTGTGGTGTTGGGGGGCCAACATGGTTGCTGCCATCTCAGCTGCTGCTGCTTGTTGCTCTTTAAAATACAGATACATTTAATGTGAGTATAAGGGTGAACATAAGTAGCTGGCTGTCCCTCTTGTCTTAGGATCTCATCTCTTTGGTTCTGGAAGAGGCATCTCGGAAGAATAAGAGCTGTCTGGATAATGCAGTTCACCAGTGTCCTCCTACTACTCCTCTCCTTGTCATCCTGGAGATTGGCTGTGGCTCAGGGGCCATTGCCCTGAGTCTCCTCCGCAAGCTGCCCCAGGTGAGCTTTATGCTGTTTTCTCATTGTGCTGGGCTGTATACAAACATATCACAGAAGGATGTTCCCTGCCTTAATGAGCTGACAGTTGAAGGTAAGGACAAAAGAGCAATGCAGCAAACAGATGGGCAGAGGCTAAGGGAACAGTGAGTCAATTGTGATAAATGTGACAGGCAGCAACTTTGCTTAACTGCTATGAAGTGGCCATTTTGATGTGTTTTTGATACCCATTCATTCCTTGATAATATTTCCCCTGACCTCATCCCCACTCCTGCTGTCAAAGGAGGAAAGAAGGAAACAGGAAGGACTGAGATCCATTAACTATGAAAGCCCCTGTGATCTAAAGGTATCAGTCATTATTGAAAACAATAGTTCCTCCTTAGTTCTTGAGAAAGAGGAAATATGAACCCACAGTCTTTGCCCGCATTCTCTGTGGGAGACTTTTTTTTTTCCCCATATCTGGAGATTGCTCCATCCCTTGAAGGGAGAATCACCAGAACTGTTTATCTTTTTGGAGAAACACTAGCATCAAAGCTTGGTGCCTTAGACATACTGGAGGGTCAGGACTATGGCGCACATTTCTTCACCAGTGATCTTTTACAATTGAAGTGTGCTTTCAACTAGGACAAACTGTAAGTGTTCCAATTTCCCTAATCATGCTTTGTGCTGCTCACTTAGCATATTGGTCATAAATGACTAGAGAATCATAGAAAACTAGAGTTGGAAGTGACCTCAGGAGGTCATGTAGTCCAACCCCATGTTCAAAGCAGGACCATCCCCAACTAGATCGTGCCAGCCAGGGCTCTTTCAATGAAGTATGTGTCAAATCAGAACTTAGCTTGAAAATGATTAATTAAAATAAAGAACTGGTAACTTCTCAGGTATTGTTCCAACTGTGGCTTCTGCCCTATGGATAAAGCTCATCTGTGCAGGAGATAGAACTTTTCTGATGACCAGTTTTAGGCTGTGGAATGAAGTCTCCATGGAACTAAGGGGCAAGACATGGTTTTTTGATTTGCCTTCTTGCATTTTAAAACACAGCAGCATGTATATTTAAAAAAACCCCCAAAACCAACACACCCAACTAAAATAAGGTAGTCCATTGTGCACACTTCTCTTAGGGCAAGGATGAGAGATCAAACAATGTGTGAGTGGTGGTATTCAGAGCACTTAATGCACCACAGGAAAGCAATCAGATACTGTAGTGATGAGCAGAGTAAAAGAATCTGTATGGAGTAGAATGGACCAGCTAAGGTGAAGCTCTCTGCAGAAGGAAACTCCTGGGTCACCTGTCTCAGCATGCACAGCATGGATTTGTTAGGTATTACAAAGCCAGAGAGACCTTTCCAAGATATTATCTTGGCATTATTCATCTTGCATGCCCCTTTTGCCAAAGATTAATTTTCCAATAATCAGGGAGCCAGGAGTAATATTAGAAATATAACATGAGGTTTGTTTTATTTTGTTCCAGAGTCAGGTGATAGCCGTGGATAAAGAGGTAGCTGCTGTGAACCTCACAAGAGAGAATGTCCAAAGGTAGGAACCACACTTACTACTCATTTTTTCATTTAATTCTTTGGGAAAAGTAACAGATCATCAAAGGACTCCTTGACTGATTACCTGAAACAAGTACAGAGCCACCAAAGTTGGAGTGTATGGCTTTCATGGGCTAAAGTGGATTAGTTTCAGCTTGGCTCTCATGTACACCTCCTTGTACCTCTGGAATGCCTCTGAATCCAAAGAACATGATAGATTTTGCCACAAATTTTCCTTCAAATGTTTTACTTCATGGGGATTCTCTGTGACAGGGCAACAGCCTGGAAGGAAATGGCAGAGTAATAAAACTTTTGTCACCCCTTCTTGCCATGTATTTCAGAACATCCTGGGGTGTGTAACCTTATCCACATTTTATAAATTTTGAAACTGAGGCACAGAAAGGATAAGCAATTTCATGCATGTCACAGAGTGAGTCAGGGCTAGAGATGGAACATAGCACTCCAGACCCTCTCTCTGACTCTCTGCATCTCACTTACTGCATTAATCTGATATACTCTTTTCAGTCAGGCTCTCACTTCTGTCCTGACCTTTCTGTGTTATCCAGACTGTCAGGGTGTCCCTTGGTGTGCTCATGTGGTGTCCCACAGCCTTCTTCTTCCTGTCTGGGTTTTTGCTAGAAATAAGGTGCAATAAACTGAGCTATTCACACCGGCCACCTGCACTGTGACTCAGTTGTAAGGGCTTCTAAACCAGCTTTATTTTAGAGGAACCTCTGTTGTATTTGCACTGATATAACTGACACAGAAACTGGCTTCCTAAAAGTTCCTGGTCCCAGGGTCCCATTTTGCACTGCATCTGCAGGAAGGACTGTTAAGGGGGTGATAAAGGTGATTTGCTCATGCCTGTGTCCCCCCAGAATTTCAGGCTGCATTAGAAAGTGAAATGGTCTCTGGCGTAGATTAGAGCAGCTTCAAAAGTGCTCTATTTTACAGCAGCACTCTTAGAGCCCTCTGTGAGCAGTTTCACTGTCCAGAGTAGTGAGGATTTTCACAGATGTATGTCCTATGGCTGTTGTGAGAGTGAGTGACCAAATGGGCTGTTGATGCATGAGGCAGGGTCAGACAAAGCTCTGCCTCAATTGTAGGGTCTTTATAACTCAATGATATAATGGGAAGAATCATGCTGGATTTTCACCTCCTTGGCAAGTCTGTAGGTCTGACAGTTGGAGGAATCATCTCATTAATAATGCTAATCTGAGGGGAGTTGCTGAGACACAGTGAACATAACATTGAACAACCTTGGGTTTTCAGGATATAACCAAAGTTCCTTATAGTCTTGTCATGGCCTGTGACCCTGCTGCTGATTTGACAGAAACCAGTGGGTTAAATTAAGTTATCATTGACTCGGAGTCAGCATGATACTCGCCTTCTTGTTCAGTCCCGAGTCATGGCTCCTTACCCAAGAGGAGAGGGTTTGGATGAGAAATCATTCTCAAGTAAATCAGCACCATTCCCAGACTGCCTATAGGGGTGTACTCCAGATAAAGGCCCTCCCTTCCCAGATGAAGGCTCTGCCTTCACAACACCCAGGTTCTTGAACCCTTCAGGAGAGCACATTTGGGCTTAGGAATGGCACATTTTTCACAGTGCAAAACCTTGGACCCCTGGGCAACCCAAAGCTGCTGGTATGTTTGATAGGAAAGTTTGGAAGGATAACCCTGGAATTATGAGTTATTCCTCACAGAATGATAGAGTGCTATGAAGAGCTTTTGGAAAAGCTTTTTCTGCATGATGTATATAAAAATGTGAAGAGGAGCAGAGAGCCTTTTTGAATCAGCCATTGTGTGCTTATAGTGTGCCACTGTGGAGGTCACACCTTGACCAGTGAACAGTCTCACTCTATTAACAAGCCTTGAGAAATCTCACCTTTCTGTGGCTTTTTAAAAAAGTGACGTGGTTTTTCTGCCTTCATAGAGTTCTCTCGAAGGCCAGAGGCGGTCTGGTGGAAGGAGGAGGAAGATGGTTTTGTGATTAAATCACACAAGTGGGGAACCACGGCTTTGTGTTCAGTTTCTCATCACTACTATCTGTCATTTTCTGCATCTGTTTCCCTTCTGTAAAATGAGGTCCCCAACAAACTATGTGGTTAATTTTATCATGACTTTCCTATGTCCAAACCCCCTTTACACTACTGTTGCAGCCTATAAGGGATTTGAACCTATGTGTCTAATTTAGAGGAAATTTTATCTCACCCCTGGAAGGGGGGGTATTCTGGAGTGGGTTCAGAAGGGGGATGGAATATGTCACGATTGTATTGGGATGTGTCTGGGGCCTGCTGCCCTGTATCTTCTTGCAGCCCTCGGGCTGTTCTAACTTGCATAGGTTGAGGAAATGGTCAAATTTCTGGCAGCATACAGGACAGAAGGGATCAGAATAATGGCAACAAACTATGACTCTCTTACCAGTGGGATCAGAGTTCTGCTCCTGCACTGCTGGCATCTGACCCAATGCTAACAAGGCCTTTTGAGCTTCCTGGATTGAAGGGATAGATAAATGCTGAGTATTATAATTTTCCTAAGGTGCAGCAGAGCCTCTTGTCACCATAGTGCCATGCATGCTTGTGCCCTTTCTTAATCTCTCTCCTCTTCTTCAGTGGAAAGAGAAAAGTACTTGCGTCTCTTGCTTCCTTCAAGGATCCCAATAGTGCAGAAGTTCTCATGGATAATATTGTGCAAGCTGAGAACCCCACTATGTGTGATCTTGTTGGTGACCATAAATATGCCAGGGTGGAGAGTGGGCCCAAATAAGGATATTGTAACTCTGAAGTTTACTGTCTCTTTTAGTTGCATTGTGCCATAAAGGACCATGAGCTAACTATCTTTAAAACAATATTGCCTGATTTTGTGAGTGTGCATCTTGCAGGGTGAATCAGCTGCATTGGGAGCCTTGCATTTTTTACATCCTAGCCTCACATTTATGCACGCTGGTGTCATGCCATGTCAGCTGCAAAAACCCAAATGTCACCATGTCCCTAGAAGTCCTGTAGTATATTCAGGGTTTGGAACTCTTTTAAAGCTAGATTTTCAAAGCAGAAGCATAAAGCAAAATAAATATTGAGCACATTGCCTACATCTGCTGAGCCCTATATTTGCATAGTTGAAAGTGTGGTAATTCTGTCTGTGCAGGGGCAGTGAGTTCCCATATAGACATTCAGTACGTAGATAGGGCACAATAATTGCAGGGGCAGTGATGAAGTGCATGTATGTGTAGCCTGGAGTATAATGTAGGCATGGACACAGAGGGGTTGAGTCTATAATGGCCATAAACAAAAGGTTGTGGGGGGTGAAATTGAGAACTTGAGGCACATGGTGGGTATATACCTCTTAAGGTCTTTGTGCATGCAGAGAATGCTTCACTTTGAATGCATGGTCATAGCTTTTTTGCAAGCAAAGAGCAGATCCAAGAGTTTGCTCAGAGTTCATGATGGTGGGCAAGCCTGTGGCAAGTGGCAGAGCGGGGTTTCATAGGTAAATAATATTTGTGTGTTACAGAATGGCCTGAATATAATATTCTGTTTATCCATATGCACCTCTAATTCTCTTTTCTCTTTTGTTTCTTCATGGATTGCACTCCTCAGGTTTCAACTCCAGCACAGGCTAAGACTTTTCCACCATGATGTCTCATCCAGTAATTTCTTTTTATATATATTTTTTCATTATGATTTTCTAACATTTTAATTTGATAAGGGGAGAAGGGTCTGGGAGTGGGAGGTGTGGCCTGGTACTGACATATAGGTTGCATGCAGAGGTACTCTGTGTATATACAAATATGACAGAGGCATGGACAGAGGTGAGCACACACATCTATGGCACACCTACAGCCTTCTTTTCTGAAAATACAATTCAGTGGGTTCATTTACATGTGCAACTAATGCGCATGAATAAACCCCAGAGCTTATTGCTCTGGAGCTTATTTGTGTGCAGCACATGGAACAAGGATGGAGCAGTCCAGGCTGGCACGGGACTCTGGGGGCCCAGGGCTGTTCCAAATGGGTCCACATGCTGTAGAGTGGCTGGCTGGGGCATGAGGGTGCTTCAGCATGGAGGCTGCCTGCCAGCTAGCCCCACCGAAGCAGTCTGTCCCTGAGCCAGCCAGGGCACTGTCTACATGTGTGCTGCTGTGCATGAAAAAACTCCACAGCAGGGTAATACTTGTATTTTAAAAATTTTACCCCGCTGCAGAGTCTATTAGTTTTGCAAACCCTAATAGGGGCGCATGTGTAGACACCAAGATATTTAACGTGCAGTTAATTAGTCAGCTGCACAGTAAATATCTTGTGTAGATGTGCCCTCTGTGTACCAGCTGTGCAGTGTCTGTCACTTACAAAGAAATTTCAGTGATTTGCTCTTGCTTTCAAATAGATTTTGATTTCCATTCCCCTCCTCCCCTTCCCCCCATGAGTGTGTCTTACTTCCCTTCCTGCTAAATAAATGCCCCTTCTCTTCCTCCCTTCCCACCCAGTTCAGCGGGCATCCCCCTAACACCAAACTCCACCCCTTCCCCTTCACTCCTCCAGGGACATACCATTTGAGGCTGCAGTTTATCATGTTAAGCAGCCTCTGGGTCCAGTCACTGCATGTCTTGGAGATATGGAAGGAAAACCTGGGTGCTGCAGTAGTTGGTATTTGTTACTATGTGGCCATTATTTTCATATGCCTCCACCTTGTGGTGGGGAGCATGGTGCAGTGGATGTCACATGTGAGCTCTCAGCACAGGGTCTGCCTGGAGCCCCTGCTTTCATGCGGCTCCAGAGCCCAGTTAGTGAGTGCTGCCAGTGCAGTTCATCCTTTGCTTTTCCCTGTTGCTGAATTTTGTGGCGGGGGAGGAGGAGAAGAGGAAGGGTGAATAGCTGCGGCATTCAGTCCTGGGCTCAGGAGCTGCATGAAATCTGGGGCTCCAGCCAGACTCCACCCGAATCAGCTGATGAGTTCACAGCTCAACTACTCATTTGGAGCTCTGGCAGGAGCCCACCCTGACCAAGCACTGAGCTCAGAGTTCACTACATATGTATGGCACACCCAAAGCTTGGGGGTAGTTACACGCTTCTTGTCCCATTCCTGAATTTGCTGCTATGGGATATGATGCTTCTTAGACGATAGGGACAACTGAGATCTTGACTGTTCACAGGCATTAGTGATCTCTTGGCACTTTTAGTAGAAGTTGGTTATTAGGAAAAACTTTCTGATTAGGAAGGTAGTGAAGCACTGGAACAGGTTACCTAGAGAGGTGGTGGAATCGCCATCGTTGGAGGTTTTTAAGGGGTTGGCAAAGCCCTGACTGGAATGATCTGTTTGGGCACAGTCCTTTGAGCAGGTAGTTGGATTGGTGACCTCCTGAGGTCCCTTCCAACTCTAATTATCTATGATTCTGTGATTCTATAAGTAGAACAAGGCTCACCTCTTTCTGTGCTACTGTCAGGCTGGTGCCGTATCCAAATTCCAACTCTCATCCTGCTGTGCACCCTAAAATTCTCTTTGTCAATGCAGCTACATACCATGACATTCACTTTAAGTTTGGGTGGATACAGCATTCTTTACCATTTAGGGGGTCATGTGAGCATCCCTCCTTTGACACAGGTGCTTTCTCATGCTTATTTCTTTGAGAGAATGGGCCATTTCAGATTGTTCTGTCAAGATAGGAGATGAAGTCCTATCCACAAGGAGAGATGATCATGCACAAACTTGGATCTGTAGGGTCGCTGTTAATTGAGATATTACTTCAGTGAGGAGCTTTGAAGATGCATGGTTAGGGCTGGTATTTGTCCTTGATTCTTTTCCTGATCTAGGTTCCTGGGAACAGCTGCTCCCCTGGGGCCCTGTAGACATCATCGTCAGTAACCCACCGTATGTCTTCCATGAAGACATGGCTCATCTGGCTGTAGAGATCCTCAGGTGAGATGGGACATTTTGATCTGTCTCTTTCCACTCCACTTAATTTTCTTCTCTTCTCTGGAGAAAAGTTTTCAGGTTGTAGAACCAAAAATGTGGTTAAGAAATACTAGCCAGGGAGGGGAAGTGGCCAAACTTGGGGTCAGAAGGGCAGTGCATGATGACATTCATTTAGGAAGTCTGTTCCTTCCATTACCATCAAAATCCTTGTAGTCAGAGATTTCCTCTTGGTCAGTTTGCTCTTTGGTGAGATTTGACTACCTCTAAGTGGTGTCTGGGGCACAAGGAATTGGGCAAAAGAAATGTGAAAGCTCTTTGTAACTTAGTTAAAGCCCCAGGATTTTTGTCTTCCCTGGGACAGCAAACTAGTGTTAGACATATTGGCCATCCACATCATTCCCAGGCTGTCTTACTGAAACACGCTCCCAAGTGTCTCCTATGTATTATGCTCCAATGTTGAGTGGAGCTGTTGTACAAATGAGGCTGCAACCTGGAAGAGCAGAGGAGCTTAGACTATCAGGGAGTTGACCTGCTTTTCACTGTGAGCTTTATGAATAAGAGTCTGTGTCTCTTTCAGTTAGAACTGGTCAAAACTTGGAATTTACATTATTTGAGAAATTTCAAAATTTCCTGCAAAATGAGAAGTCTAAAGAGTGTGGGGTTTAGGAGGATTTTCATGTTAGAACTTCAACAAAATAATTTAAGGCATCTTTACATGTGTTTCAGGGTAGGGGAGTGCTTTAATTAGAGCAGCTCTCAGAAGCCCCCCTAATTAAAGTTTGTTTGACGAGCTTTAGGTAAAGCACCCCCACCACCATTTGAAGCATGGGGATGCTGAATACATATGATATGGAGGCTGCTGGAATGTACTAATTAGCACACGATTAATTGAGTCTGCTCTGATGCATGCTAATTAGCACACATCGGGTACGTATATAGGTGCCCTTAGATTTTTTTTCATTTTTCTCTTGTATTTAATCTATATTATTTTATGCAAGTGTTTTATATTTGTTTTATTTTGTACCTAAAGGCATTAAGGACAACTGATGAAAGAAATTATATATTTTAATTAGAACAGAAGTATGCCTTGTGTGTGCATTATTTCATTCCAAGACTGTATGTTATTAGTACTTCTGCAATGCTCTGAAATAATGTCAAAAGTGGGAACTCTAACTGTGACAGAATGGAGTCCAAGGGCCTCTGTGATACCGCCTAGTAGCCATCTCTATCCTGTCCAGCCCCTACTCATGCCACCCCAGGTCTCAATCTGCTCACTTTCCTGCCATACCTTGATGTTAAAGAAAAGTAATGAGGGCAGGCTCTCCAGGACCAGTGAGTCTGTGGGGGCCTCTCTGTCTCTCTCTCTGTCCTCAATATCCATTTTCTTGGGCCCTGCCAGTCTTAAGTGTTACATGTGTGTCCTCCTTTCACCCCTACAGCTATGCCTCACATATGATATCAGTTAACACATCAGCAGGTAAGCTTGCCCCCAGTGCATTATGTGACCTACCCAGGTCTCCAGTTTTTTGTTGGGGTTTTGGCCCCCTTCTTCTGGCTGTGCCCTTCTTTAGCCTAGGTCCACCATGCTGGACCTAGGCTTTTGGGCGCCACCCCTATTTTGCCCTTCTCTGGCTTTTGCTCTAGTCTTCCTGGCCTCAGGACACCTATGTCGCCTTTGCTATCTCAGGCATTGATGCTCTTGGTTCCTGCCTGCCTACGTCTTGTGCCCAGTCCTCAAAACATCCACATGCCCCTCAGACACCCCCATGGCCTTCTCATCACCACTTTTAGCCACACCCAGTCCACTGGTGTAACTAAAATAAAAAGGGCAAGCATCCACTTGAAAAAACCTTTCCTCCCCTTCCTTGGGTAAAACAACACTTGGCAAGCCCTGTTACCACCGGGCTGTCACCTTTCTGTCTCCAGGGCCTTCCATGCCAGTCAGGGTCTCTCAGGCAGCTCCTCCCCTCCTGAGAGCTCTGTTTCCTCTGGAGTACCAGCCCAGCCTCACTTCCCTCCTGACTCAAAGTGCAAAGTTTTTGAGTACCTTGGAGTGTGGCCCTTTCTAATCATGTGATTCTTTAGCTCAGGCACAGTTGTACCTTTTTAGTTCTAATGGGCAGCTTGCCCTGCGTCCCAGCTGCAGCCTCCAGCTTGTGTCTGCCTATTTCTTCTGCCTGTTGTGATGTGTAGCTTACCTCCTTCCTGCTGCCTGCTCATCTCTGTCCTTGTCTTCCCCTGTCTAATAACAGGAGCCTCTGGTTTCCTGTTACAATAACATTCAAAATGAAATCGTGACATTGCCATAATATAAATATCTTCGCTTAATTTTTCTGCGTTTTCCATAGGAATTTTTGTCAGAAGCTATATGATTTTTGAACATTTTCTGATTAATCAAAACAGTTTTATCTGACAAAAACTCTCTGAAGGTACATTTTCCATTTCTAATGCCAAGACTTTCGTATAATAAAATATTTAACATTGTTTGGGTTTCAGATCTCTTTTATGCCTTCTAGGGTCTCACAAGACTTATTTAGCTGGGAAATAGAACTTTTTTTTGTGAAGACAATATCTTGTAAGACACCAATAGAAAACAAGTCAAAATCTTGAAAAGTTGGCTTCCTTTAGTGATATAAAAACTCAATCTCTTCTGGGTTAGGTAGAGTCTTCTGTATTGTAACCTGGTATGTTACGTTAGAAGGCAGCCTGACCTGGCTCTTGGCAATCCTTGAACTAGAAGTGATAATACTATGCTTTACCAGCTACTAACCTACCCATTCTCCTATCAAATTGGTATCAATGATAAATGTGAATAGGACACATTTACATGGTGCACACAGTCTCAAGTACTGAATAACAGTTCTGTAAATTGGTCAAAAATACTGAGGTTCTGTTTCTAGTCCTTAGGTTCAAGAGGCAACAGGAGTAATAATTGGGGTGCCTACACTTTTGGATTTGCTGGGGCTTGAGTGACTAGTGTCTGGGAACATTTTCACTTTTCTACTTTCCCTTCTCTCCTAAATATGAGTTCAGTAAAGTTCACTAGCCTGCATCTGACCCAACTCTGCAGTTTATTTGCCTGCCTGGGGGGAGGGAAGAACTTTTGGACCCATATTTTTAAGTTCCCAGAGGCTAGGGATGCAGATGAGTGGCAGCGGTCAGGGTGGGAATGAGAACACGGCTGGTTGTTAGACAGTTTTTATTGGACAAGCAATGCAAGGGAGCACATTGATTTAAAAACATGCCAACAAATAAGGGGGGGAATAAAATAAGGGGGGGCCATGTACCAGAATAGCCAGATACAGTAGTGGAGGGGGGGGTGGTGAATGAGGAGCAATGCAGTGTGGGATGCATGGAGGACCTACCATACCCATGTCACAGAAAGTTTACTGTCCGCATGAAAAATTGAACCCATTCATAGTGAACAGTTTCAAGAGTACGTGATCTTCTAGGTGCACTTTTGAACCATTCTAGGCAGCTTTAAACCAGTTTAGCAGGCTTGTATGTCTGTCCACTTCAGGTTGAAACTACATTTAATCTAGTCTAAGTGTTGTGTGTGTCCTTAAGAGTCTCAGCTGAGTCCTAGTGACAGTCCCCTTATAACTCTCTTTATTTTACATACCACCCATCTGAGTTGCCAGGGGGAACTGAGACTTCACCATCAATATAAATGCCAAAGTTACTTTGCATATACTCTGTCTCTGTCTATGGGCAGCAAGATTCCAAGCCATTGTTAACAGTAGGGAACTTTAAGTTATATATTAGGAAAAACTTTCTTATAAGAAGGGTAGTAAGACACTGGAACAAGTTACCCAGAGGGGTTGTGGAACCTCCATCCTTAAAGGTTTTTAAGACCCGACTAGACAAAGCTTTTCTAGGATGATCTAGTTGGGGGTGGTCCTGGTTTGAGCAAGGGGTTGGACTAAATGACCGCCTGAAGTCCTTTCCAACCCTAATTTTCTATAATTCTATGTATGGACTAAAATGAACACCTAGTGCCAGGTTCCTGGTGGGAGATTTTACTGCTATGTATAAAAGGCTGTATTCCTTGTCTTTATCCTCCAGGTATGAGAACCTTGATGCCCTGGATGGGGGAAATGATGGGATGAGAGTGATAAAAAGGATTCTGGAGCTGGCTCCTTGTATTCTAAAAAATGATGGGTAAGATGCCTAATCCTAAAGCTTGTGCATTTTTTATTTTTCTATTCTTCTGCCTAACCACACCTCTCATACTTCTACACTAATACATTATGTTCAGAAATATAAAGCATGTACAAAGTGAATGCATCTACATGAGATCTGCACTGTTGCTTAATTAGCTCCACAGGAAATGTCTCAGCATCTACACATGCAGCCCTATTAGGCCACAGGAAACTAATTAGCTAGGGGTACACCAATAGAGATTTTGGGGGCCAGTACCAATAGCTGATATTTAAGGAGGCATATTGGCTGATACTGATCCGATATCTGATACAGCTGCCGTCAGGTGGTAAGTCCAATGTGGTGGAAGGGGAGGGGGCAGATCAACGCCCCCCATGGTGAGGGAGGGGGCAGGGGCAGGTGTTGCCTGGAAGGTGGGGGGGGCATGGGACAGAGGCATGGTTCATAGAGTGGGGGCAGCTCCCGCCACTGCTTGCACCTCAGGGGGGCAGGGATGTGGGGGCATGTGTCCCTGGATCTATGTAGCATGGGGCAAGCTGCAGCTGTGGGGTGGCTTTTCTTGCCAGGGGTTGGGCTCGGAATGGGCTCTGGTGGCGCTAGGAGGAGGCTGCAGCCACCCCAGATTTCGCTGCAGCTCTGCTTCCAGCCCTGTGCTGCCACCCACCACAGCCCTGGCTTTTCCCAGCACTTGGATGGAGGCAGAGCGTTCAGCCAGGGCTGATGCAGAAGGCAGCGTATGGCTGGGAGTGGAGCTGAGGCAAAATTTGGGGTGGCTGCTGCCTCCTCCCAGCGCCACCAGAGCCTGCTTCAAGCCCAGCCCCTGGCAAGAAAAGCCCTGTGTAGTGCTGGCTCCACCTCCACCCCACAGCTGCAGCCCACCCCGCGCCGCACAGATCCAGGGCACCCCTCCCCTCCCTGCTGCCCCTGCCCTCTTGGGGTGCAAGCAGCAGCGGAGCTAACCCCACCTCATGAGCTGCACTTCTGTGCTGCCCCCTGCCTCCCCTGGGCAGCGCCTGCCCTCTCCGTCACCAGTGGGGATGTTGATCTGCTTCCCCATGCCCCTTCCCTCCCCTTCCAATTTATCAGCTGGAGGCAGCTCTCCATGCTGCACTGCGGGTGCACACAGCATGGGCATTTATCGGCCAAATTATCGGCCCCATCGGGCTGATATCCAATATAGACATTTTCTTTATATTGGTACCAATTCAATATCGGACCAAAGTATCAGTGCACCTCTATAATTAACTCCACTGCAGGTTAGTACTTGTAATTACAAGTACCATTTTACTGTGGAGTTTTTTCATGCACAGCAACTCATGTGTAGACACTGACCTGGCTGGTTGGGGCACAAGGGTATTTCAGCACAGTGGGCTGCCTCCCAGCTCTCCCCACACTGAAGCACCCTTGTGCCCCAGTCAGCCCCACCATAGCACATTGCTGCTTCAACCCAACTCAATGTGCTGTGGTCCCAGGCGCACATGTAAACATGGTGCCTGGGAGCAATAAACTCTGATGCAATATGCTTTGCAGTAATATACATATGTAGACACGCTCAGCCAGTGGTAAACAAAAACCCCATTCTCTATTATTATGTTAGAAGGGGAAGACAGTGGCATAAGCCAAACGTATAGACCATTAACATACTTACTTGGGGAGATTATGTGCTTTGCCATCGATCCTACGTGCTTAGCATCGCTGGTTGATGGCCATTACCTAAGTGGGGAAAGTAAAGATCAAAAAGCAAAAAAGAGTAGGGAGAGGAAAGTAGCAGAGGAAAAGATTAAAAAAGAAGGCTGCAAAGAGGCAAATGGCTAAGCAGAGTGATTGAAGTCCAGGAAGAGCCATGATAAACCTCTCTGTAGAAGTGAAATTTATGGAGGTGAGAAAATGTATTGAACATCAGACGAAAAAAAAAATTTACCCAGAGGGTGGTTTCTTGAGGGTTTCTTGAGGGATCAATTTCCTCCATAATACATGCCCAAGAGATATGATGGTTAATGGAACCAACAGTGGTGCCCCTCCCTTCCCTTCTCTCCCCCTTGCTAACAAGAAATATCATCAATATTGACAACTCAGGCATCCAGACCCCTGCTGAGCTGAGGTATGCAAGTAAAGGGAATAGAGTTACACTTGTCTGACAGGTCAAAGAAAGCCAGTTGTTTGATCATTGAATTCCAGTGGGTTCCACAGGCAACACAAGCTGGTCAGCTGATTCCTTTGCCAGGTTATATGAACCAGTTTTGGGAAGGAGAACCTGAAGTTTCTAAGCTGAGACAATAAAATATCCATCATTTTTGTTATACCAACTTTCAGGAGTGTGTTTCTAGAAGTTGATCCGAGGCACCCAGCGATGGTGGAGAACTGGCTGCAAAGTCGTCCTGACCTGTTCCTTTCTCTTTGTGCTACCCACAAGGACTTCTGTGGAAAGTAAGTATATTTTATCTTCTGTCAGCCATATGCAACTGCATCCCATGTCACTCTGCACCCTTGGGTATTGAAGTTAAACTCAAAGAAAGTCCCTAGTCAAATGTGTCCTTTTCCTAAATGCACGCCCCTTTCAGACTCTTCCATTTTTCTTGTATAACCTGAAGATGGCACTGAAAAGCATTTCTGAGTCATCTGCATTGCTTATAAGATCTGAGGGGACTTGGAGTTTTAAGTGATGAGCATAGATTCATATTCTCCCTGGCAAAACTTAAGGCAGTGCTCATTCTTATCTTCCGCAGGCCAAGGTTTCTGCACATTCAAAAAACATGTAGCATGTGACTGGAACCCAAGGAATGTCTCCGCCCATCCCAACATGCACAGTAACATGAATCTGGACTACCGTTCCATTTTCCAGTGTTCTGATCTCCCCATGTATTGACCATCCATAGCTGGTAATGGATTTCACTTGATGGATCAATAGTGAGGGCCTAGTTAAGGATCTGCACAGGAGTTTCACTTTCCCCAGATGGTCAGACAAAGCTTTCTTGCTCACTTAGGTAGAGCAGTTAATAGCTATGAGATCCCAGCCCAGAGGGAATTACATCTCATTGCTGTTACAAAAAGCTGCAGATAAGTGTGGCAAAAGTACAGCTTCATACATCAAATTACATGCATATATGACTCTTGTGCCGAGTGAAGAGCTGAGAGCTTTACCAACATGAGAATGGTCTTAGTGTTTTTCATTTCTTTTTAAGCATCTATTTTCAGTATTTCAAGTGGGTCTAATGCGAGATTACCAAACTACCTCTTTGGATTCAGTTCTATTCTGGATGCCTACTGTTGCTGACTGACCCAACAGTAGTAAAGCAGCCTGTGCTGCCCAGCCTTCCTGAATTGACCTTTCAGTAAACAATCAGCACATGTGTAGTTCTTACTAAATGTGAGATATCTTCCTGCAGATAATTGGGCCCAGACTGAAGGTTTTGCAAGGTAGATTTGGGATGGGCCTAAACCAAAATTTACTGGGAAATCTTCACTTTTCTTTGGAAAATCTTGTTTTAGACTGGCAAGGCAAGGCCTTGCATCTGAAGATTTGCGGGATATATTTAGAAGAGTTCTTTTTGGCACGAAGGTTTTATTTTCAAAGTCCTTTTCCTGAAGGGGCCCCAGCTCAACAGGACTTGGAAGAAGACTTCTGGTGTTCAGTTGGTGTGTGTGTCAATTTATCACGTAGCACATCATGGTTGCTAACAGTAAGAAATAAAAAGTCACAATAAAACTAGCACTGTATGAGATTGAGCCTTAATTCAAAATGTGACTCAAAAAAACAGCTGTCAAGAGGGAAATATTTTTAAAGATGATGTGGGGCCTGGATCCACACATTCCACCACATAATAAATCCACCTGCATTGTGCATTTTCCCATAGATTTCAAAACACGTTACACAGAAGGTCAGTGTATTACTCTCCCATTTCACAGATAGGGAAACTGAGGCACAATGAGGGACAGTTACTCAGCAGGTTGATGGCTTTGTCTGATATAGAACCCACACTTCCTGACTCTTTCCCCAATCCACCTGGAATAGGTAAAGTCTGATTCTTCAACAAGGAGAAGTGATCCATGCCGTGGTTCTGCCTGAAAGTACTTGGAAAGAAGACTGCCTGCAGCAGACTGACAAAACCTGCTATTGTAAATAATGGAAGGATTTCAGTGCAAGTAGATTTATTTTTCCTGGTGGCCAATTCATCTGCTGCCTAATGTTAGCCCTGAGGAAGAGTCTGAGGAGTTGATTCAAATAGAAGCCTGTATTGGGTCACTGCTGGGGAGCAGACCCATACGGAATGTATTCATCTGTGGTCTCAGAACGTGCCAGGTGTTTAAGGGATATCTTCCCAGGCTGGAGTGGCTGCATACAAACTTAACTAGAACTTGGTGCCACCCACCACAAATTGCAGCACACTATGGGGCTGTTAGAAAGCTCCAGATTTCTGAGGCTTATTGAAACAAGAGTGTAGTTTAGCTCCGTCATCCTTGCTGTTCTTTTCACTCCATCGCTTTTCACTTGGCCTCTCTCACTTTTACCTACTCTGTTTTTCACTCCTTTGAGTCTTGGACAGGGCTTTGCAAATGCACCTCGACTTCTGACTGATATACCAGTTAACTAGCCTTCAGTCTGGGCCTCAGCCTAACTCCAGGGGCTTAGCCAAAGCCTCCATCATTACCGCCATCATTCACAACCTAGCTCCATGTCACTATTGCCCATAGTGCACGCAGCTTGGGCCCTGTGATCCTGCTACATGAGTTGTGTGTGCTGTGGCCCTCTAGCATTCAGTAGCTATCACACAAAAAAGGAAAAAAACCTCCCTCCTCTTTCTCCAGGAAAACATGATAACAATCTAATGAGTGCTACAGCAAAGCTAGAAATAGGGGACCCTCCTGAAGTGCATCTCACTCCATGTTTGAG